AGATCATGTGCTGAAGGCTATGATTTTTAATTTACTTTATCTTTTTCAAAGTTCATAATGAAAAAACGGTTATGGTAAGATTCGAACCATCGATTTACCATTTGGAGACCATTGTCTTCACCACTAGACTACGAGATCATGTGCTGAACGGCTATGATTATTTGATTTACTTTAACTTTTCAAAGACATAATGAAAAAGTTATGGTAAGATTCGAACCATCGATTTACCACTTGGAGACCATTGCCTTCACCACTAGACAAGATCATGTGCTGAGGGCTATGATATTTAATTTATAAGTTCATAATGAAAAAGGGTTATGGTAAGATTCGAACCATCGACTTACCACTTGGAGACCATTGCCTTCACCACTAGACTACAAGATCATGTGCTGAAGGCTATGATATTTAATTTACTTTATCTTTTTCACGAAGTTCATATGAAAAAACGGTATGGTAAGATTCGAACCATCGATTTACCATTGGGAGACCATTGTCTTCACCACTAGACTTGAGACATGTGCTGAACAGCTATAATATTTGATTTACTTTAACCTTTTCAAAGATCATGATGAAAAACGGTATGGTAAGATTCGAACCATCGATTTACCACTTGGGAGACCATTGTCTTCACCACTAGACTACAAGATCATGTGCTGAGGCTATGATATTTGATTTACTTTAACTTTTTCACAAAGGACATAATGAAAAAGGGTTATGGTAAGATTCGAACCATCGACTTACCACTTGGGAGACCATTGCCTTCACCACTAGACTAAGATCATGTGCTGAAGGCTATGATTATTTAATTTACTTTATCTTTTTGACAAAGTTCATAATGAAAAACGGTTATGGTAAGATTCGAACCATCGATTTACCATTTGGAGACCATTGCCTTCACCACTCTACAAGATCATGTGCTGAAGCTATGATTATTTAATTTACTTTACCTTTTCACGAAGTTCATAATGAAAAAACGGTTATGGTAAGATTCGAACCATCGATTTACCATTTGGAGACCATTGTCTTCACCACTAGACTACGAGATCATGTGCTGAACGGTTATTTAATATTTGATTTACTTTAACCTTTTCACAAAGTTCATGATATAAAAAGTTATGGTAAGATTCGAACCATCGATTTACCACTTGGAGACCATTGCCTTCACCACTAGACTAAGATCATGTGCTGGGCTATGATATTTGATTTACTTTATCTTTTTCAAACATAATGAAAAAGGGTTATGGTAAGATTCGAACCATCGATTTACCACTTGGAGACCATTGCCTTCACCACTAGACTACAAGATCATGTGCTGAAAGCTATGATTATTTAATTTACTTTACTTTTTCACGAAGTTCATAATGAAAAAAGGTTATGGTAAGATTCGAACCATCGATTTACCATTTGGAGACCATTGTCTTCACCACTGACTTGAGAACATGTGCTGACGGCTATAATATTTGATTTACTTTAACCTTTTCACGAAGTTCATGATAATAAAAAGTTATGGTAAGATTCGAACCATCGATTTACCACTTGGAGACCATTGTCTTCACCACTGACTAGATCATGTGCTGAGGGCTATGATATTTGATTTACTTTAACGCTTTTCAAAGACATAATGAAAAAGGGTATGGTAAGATTCGAACCATCGATTTACCATTTGGGAGACCATTGTCTTCACCACTAGACTCGAGACATGTGCTGAACAGCTATGATATTTGATACTTTACCTTTTCACGAAGTTCAATGAAAAACGGTATGTAAGATTCGAACCATCGATTTACCATTTGGGAGACCATTGTCTTCACCACTAGACTTCGAGATCATGTGCTGACAGCTATGAATATTTGATTTATTTAACTTTTGACAAAGGCATAATGAAAAGGGTTATGGTAAGATTCGAACCATCGACTTACCACTTGGGAGACCATTGCCTTCACCACTAGACTACATCATGTGCTGAAGGCTATGATATTTAATTACTTTACTTTTTCACAAAGTTCATAATGAAAAACGGTTATGGTAAGATTCGAACCATCGACTTACCACTTAGGAGACCATTGCCTTCACTAGGCTACAAGATCATTTGCTGAAGGGCTATGATTATCTAATTTGCTTTATCTTTTTCACGTTGTTCATAATGAAAAAACGGTTGTGGTAAGATTCGAATCATCGATTTACCATTTGGAAGACCACTGCCTTCACCACTAGACTACAAGATCATGTGCTTAACGGCTAGGATTATTTCATTTTCTTTATCTTTTTCACGAAGTTCATAATGAAAAAACGGTTATAGTAAGATTCGAACCAGATTCGACGTTCCTGGACTCGAATCCTAAGTTTTAAAAATGGGAGAGCATTGCGTTCACCACTAGACCAGCAGAACCTCAGGAGTGTCACTACACTGTTTTATTTTTACCTAATTTTTTATTTTAAACAACCTTTTTTCGAAGGATTTTACGTAAGTTTAAATACGTTTGCTTGGATGATGATGCTTTCTATTTTGTCTAAAACGCACAAACGTGAATCTTATTCGTAACTTTAACCTAATTGATTCATTTATGCTGACGCTACCGGGTGTCCCAAAAAAAGTACCTATTTTTAATTCAACATAACTTAAAAACGAACTAAAGAATTGCAATAAAATAGTCCATGTGTAGTTGAGTAATGTCTAACTTAAAGTTTGATATATTTGATATGAAGTTTGAGCAAGTAGTTTCCGAGATATTCGCGTTTAAAGACACAGTAACGTTTTGAAATGTGTCAAAAATCAGCAAATAATGGCTTGTTAAATGCAACAATCCGATATCTACAGGGGCAATTTCCTGGTCGACTCATGAGTAAACGTGGCGATTGGCCATGGCCTCCACGCTCCCCTATCCTGACGGTGTGTGATTTCTTCCTCTGGGGCTATTTAAACAGCAGATTTGGGAAGTTCCTCATGACCAACAACCTCAAAACTTGGGAGATCTTCGCGAGGCGATTGTTAGGTCATGTCGCTATTTGGACCCACATGATTAAAAGGTCTTTTGATAGCATGCTGAAACGGGCAAGAAAGTGCGTTGCTGCTGGTGGACATGAATTTGCAGATGAATTAGAGCAAGTAAAAAACGATTTTTAGAAAAACAACTAAAAAATATGTTACAAGATACCATGTTAGGAACCGGTATTGTTGAAACAAGTTTAATAGGCCATTTTTTCCTGATTTTTGACAAGTTTCAAAACGTTGCTACGACTTTAAACGCAAATATCTCAGACACTACTCGTTCAAACTTCATATGTAATATATCAAACTTTAAGTTAGACATTACTCCACTTAATATAGATTGTTTGATTGCAATTCTTTAGTTTCCTTACAAGTTATGTTGAATTAAAAAAAGGTACTTTTTTGGGACACCCAGCATAATATCACAGGTATGGAGACCATTGAGAAAAGGTGCAGCGTTATTTCACCATAAGCTAGTTATATGCGGCCCAGGTGAAGCAAATGGTTACGGTGCGATTGTTTTGTATTTTTAATGAAGTCAAGTCTGATTTCACAGATCACAAATTAAAATTTGAGGAAAATGGTAATTCAGATTATTAGAATGTTTCAACATTTTCCACTTATTTCATAGCTGAAATTGTACTCCAAATCTCCATTATAACGCAAAAATATTAAATAACTCTACTTCTCTTAAGCTGCGTTTACACGGTACCATCCGCTCGTCACAACATCTTCGTTTCCATGCAGCGTACACCTAAGATCCTATAAGACACAGTCACTGTCGGTCACAGCACGGCTACGATCCCCAGTCTGATTTATTTATGTCAATTTCTTTCTTATATTACATCCCGTCAATTACGTATCACAATCGCTTAATCATCATGTTCCTCTAGCAAATTGTAGTTACAAGATTATGTATTGCGATATGCATTATTTACGCAATCATTTTGATCGCGCGCCACACTTTCTTCTCACATTAGTTTTGGTCCCGAAAACGGTAAAAGTTGATACAGAAACTACGATCAAAATCTCCCGATTCCTGACCAAGACAAACAAACCAGGACAAGCAAACTTTCCCTGCTCAGTAGGCATAAAGTAAGGTTTTAGATTGTCGTGATGGACCATGAACTCTCGACCTGTTTCTGATCTAATCTTATAATTTACGCCTAGTCTTCCTAAAATAGTGTGAGGTCCAAGCTGTTTGGGACAGAATTTCCACTCCTTTGGCCGCCTAAGCCATACATGCTCAAGCCATACAAAATCTAGTTTCCTGCTGACCAAGCAAGTCCGACGAAGCGAGGAGTCCTCGGAAGGATCGCGAAAGTTTATGATCCTCTCGGGTTGATTTCGCCCATTATTCTGCAAGGAAAGTTCCTCTACCACGAGTGTTGTGACGCTAAGGTCCCCTGGGATGCCAAACTGCCTCGTGAGTTAGAAGCTAGATGGACGGCGTGAGAGAAAAGCCTACAGAGAACGTGACCGCACCAATTAAGGAGTCTAGCTAAGTTCCAGTAGCCAATTGAAGATACAGGTCATTAGACCCTTACAAAAATAAACTATAGTTTTTAAAGGCGAAACTATAGTTTTAATAACTGTAGTATTTTGGAATAAAACTTCAGTGTCTGAAACTATAGTTGTTTTAGTGAAAACTATAGGTTAAAAACTATAGGTTTGTTCGAAACTATAGTTTTTACATGGAAGCAAAAGGTATTCTTTAAAAAAAAATAATTTTGACGTTTACCCAAATAATAACTGCTGCACAAAGCAGCTTTAATTTCACGAAGCTAACACAGTTCTAGTCATGCTGCCAATAATCAAACGATATTTTAACGAAAAAGGAATTACGTTTTATTTTACTTCGGTCTTTAGTACCAGGGGATTTTATTATTAGTATATAATAAATGCAGAATATAAAAAAAGAACTACTGTTTTGAAATTTAGGCATTTACTATTAATTTAAAGGGCTAAAAACTTTCTACAATGATACCCTTTCTTAGTATATGTTCAAAAAATTCCTGTGCCATAATACTGTTATTCTTGTTGCTTTTTGAACGCCTGTTCCTCATTGTTCAGTTTAAACTTGATAGCTTTGACAATGTCCTCGTCAATAACAGGCCGCTGAAGTTCGGTGTATCTTACACTCTTGGCGTATTCTACACAAAACATAAAGAAGGCTAAATTACTAAATCAGTAAATATGCCAACACTGCGTTTTTCCTTCAAATGCTGATTAGGTAAACAGAAATAGTCCGTCTTTGCAATACAAAGATTACGTATACACTCAAAACCAAAAACCTACTTATTAGGGAAGCTGTGTAGTTTGTATCAAGCTTTGGCTTTGTTTGCCCATTCTTCCCTTTCTGCCCTTTGTAACTGTGTGTCGCCATGTACTCTCTTGTGAGTGTTGCTCCCATCAGGTTTGCCACAAATGATCCTACTTTCTTCGTCTTTATTCGTTGAAGCACATTCTTTGAAATCGACAAGCCTGGTCCCAGAACAACCTGTAGAAAATAAATCAATACAATAAATTAGTAAAAAAGGTGAAAAAAACAATGTAAAGTCATCCAATGAACAAAATGTTTTAAACCACGGTACTAATAATTCCATTTTCAAGACACACTCTACCTAAACCACTTTGCGTGTATTGAAATCAGAATGTAAAATTTTAAAATTCTCCCATTTACAGTGCATTTGAAAGACCTACCTTATCTGCCATAACATCAGCCAATCCAGACTGTTCGTCACTTCCACAAATTTTTGAGGAAGCATATGTGTCCTTCTCTAACTCCTGGACCTAGTTGTCATCATCACAGCCTTGTATTTCCTTACTTTTGTCTTTCAACAAGTTGTCTTCGCTAATTGCAATTACGGTTGGTTCCTCTGTAGCAAATTCTGAAAAACCACTCATCGATGTGGGAGAAGATCTGGTTGATGAGCTTGACACACATGAGATAGGAGACGATCTTCCATGATCCATGGTTGTCAAAGGAGACAATCTTGCGGAAGGCTCGTATGCTCGTACGCTCTGTTGTGAACCAAATTTTGGTGCTTGGTTTGAAAAGCCTTCCAAGGATGCAACATACTTCTTCAGTTTTCTCAAAGAAACTTTTAAATCTATAAGAAAATTAAAATGCATTAGCCAAAGACTAGGAAACATGAAATCAGAATAACAGTAAAATCATTGCCTTTTTGTGAGTGGCTAATGAATGGTGAGGAAAAGGCAAAATAAATGGCTTGCCCTAGCTTAATGCACCAGGATCATGGATTGTCCGCCGATCACCCGTCTTGTGGCACATTTTGATTAAAAGTTGGACAAATCTTTTTGAACAAGCTTACCATCACTACTTTCGATTTGTTCCCGAAGTCTTTCATTTTCACTTTTTAGGTGTTTGATTGTTGCCAGAAGCGTTCTATTTTCTCTTAAATGTTTGCAATCTTCATCACATACACTGTTGTCATCAAATAATTTAAGACTTTCCTAAATATTAAAATTATAAGCAATGAATACATATGTGTGCTGCCTGTGCACCAATGGACGACTTGCGCTTTAGACTAATTTCTTACATTGACGATAAAAAGGACATTTTCTGAAAGAGCTTACTAAAATTAGTAAAACTGCCAAGTTTGGCTGGAAGTTGTTGTAAAATACGGAAAATACAGCCATGCGAAGTTGACGATTTTTGTATACTTTTGTATTATGGCTGGAAGTTTGTAACTAATTTAGTTACACATTTCCGCACGTAATACAAAAGTATACAAAATATGCCAACTTCGCATGGCTATACTTTCCGTATTTTACAAAATTTTGCAGCCAAACTTTGCATCTGCACTAATTTAAGTAAGATCTTTCCAGCGGTGGTGATTTATTTTCTTCTAGTCACTTCTATCAAAAATTAGTCTAAAGCGCAAGTCGTCCATTGGCATCTTTCCTAATTATCAACAACTGCAAGAATGTAATGTGTTCTTACTAACTCATGTGTCTATCTACCATCTCAGGTACAGGGGCGGATCTAGGATTTTTGTACCTTAGTCAAAAAGTTTCAGTCAAGAAATTTGGGGGGGGGGTGTTGCAGATGGAACGAGAAAATGACTGTTTCGCCCAATGTCAGGGCTCATCAGCATGCCTAGGAAACGCATGATACTACTAAGATATCTTTGGATTCCGACATGGACAGGCATTTTCACATAAGAGCACATGCAGTTTGTTTTTAGGCGCCAGCACCCGCCTTCAAATCTTTGCACTGGGGTAGAAATCGGTGAATTTAGTAGCAATGATGCTTTACATATTCATCCTTGATTAAATTTACATAGGTGCAACCACAAATACGCTAGTTCGATTGAATATTTTGATGTTTCTTACATCTACTTCGGTCAAAGCAATCAAATTATCAAAAGATATGTTGGATTGAAGATCGGAATTCAGGTTACTTCTTTACAGCCAGCAGTACATATTGGAACTTTTCGCAGCAATGGCGCAAGAGTTTATATTCGCAGTCATTCTCTATGATGCTAGCACTCTCGTTTCGCGACCAATTGCGCATTCCAAATTATTTTCAAATAACGATGGCGCAAGAGTGTTGTTTTTTCAGTCAATTTTCTTGCAAGCACTCTCTTTTCGCAGCCAATCGTCGAAGTTGGAACTTTTCGCAGCAATGGCGCAAGAGTGTTATATTCGCAGTCATTCTCTATGATGCCAGCACTCTCGTTTCGCGACCAATTGCGCATTCCAACTTCCATAATACAATCATACATGTACTGTGAAACCTTTAACCCATATATATTTTATTCAAATATGCAGCATAATAGATAATAATTAATAAATTTTCATTTGATGGACAATTAAATCGGTTGATCAAAAGCTTGATAGCTATATACAAAAGAGTTTTAACGTTCAACCTTTAATTAAGAGCTTTTGGTCGAAAAATATGAAATATACACTGTTATAGGATAATTAGGAAAATTTCAACCTGGTGTTTCCTTCTGCAAATTTGTCAATTACTTTTTCAACATCTGGAATTATCTCCTGATGAATTTGCATTAGGGCTAGACCATTCAACCGTTCCTCAACCATAGTACTACGCTGGTAGTTCTTCAGTGATCTCAGTGCCGAAATAGTTCTTTCACACTCACATGAAGTGATGGGCAGTGTTCCTAAAATACGAAGAACAACTTTAATATTTTCAAAACCATCAAAGCTAACAGCTTTTAAAGTTGTTGGAATATTGTCAGGAAGAAGTCCTTTGTAGGTCTCCCAATAAGACGTCCATAATGACAGTTCAGCATCTAGAGCTAAGGGAAAAGGTAGATCATCAATGTAAAAATCGGCAACAACTTTGAATCCATCACGCCAGTCTTTCCCCTTCTCTTTCAAAGACATCATTTTCGTTGGTATAACACTTAATCCTTTATAAACGTTAACACTATCCGTGTCGAATCTGTGTTGTAAAGCAGAATTAATATGGTCAACGAAAGGGATACTTATGATACGCTTATAATACTCCGAGATTGTCTTATACGGAGGATTGGACCTGCTTGTTTGTCTTCCTACTGTCCGTGGCTTGCTCTCTTTTATTCCAACCTTTCGTGCTAAATCAACTGCCTCTGCATACCAGATTTCATGGAAAGTGTCAATGGAATTTCTAAAACTAATAAAATCATTTTTCATAGTGTTAATTAAGTGAATTCCATCCATAATATCAATACTCTTTCCCTGTAGCAATAAAGTAACAGAAAGAAGTCGATCCAGAATATTGTGGGAAATTACCAAAGTTACAATAAATTCAAACTTTCCTATAAGATCAAAAAAATTAGATGCATCAGCAACAAGGTTTGGTCTGTAATTCCCCTCTACATTGTCTCTCATCTCCTTTAATGTGTCATAAAAAGGGACGAAAAGTTCAATAAATGTATCCAAACCGGCGATTCTTTCAACCCATCTGGTCCGACAAACATCTACCAGCTTTGTCTTCCGACTTTCTCTCTCAGGATAATTACGGACATTTTCTTCAAAAGGCATGTTGCGTGTCTGGGAAATATTAATGAAATTTGAGACATCTTTAACATGTTTCATCATGGTATTGACCTCAACAACAGTCAAAGAATCACATACAGCTAAATTAAGTCGATGGCTATAACAATGAGTGTAAAGAGCTTTCTCATTAATGCGCAAAATATTAGCTGACAAACCATTTATGTGCCCTGAGACAGCACCTGCACCATCATAGCCTTGTCCTCGACAATCATCAATGGATAAAGTCATGTCATTAAGTGCTTCTAGGATCAGCTTGGCAAGTTGTTCACCACTTAATCCCCATCTACATTCAAGGAAAGCAATGAATTCTTCTCGAATATTCATGTTAATATCTACAAAACGTAAAACAAGAGACATTTGCTCCATATGAGAAGAATCTGCAGCCTCATCTGCTATGATGGAATAGAATTTACTGGCCTTAATATCTTGAATAATCTGCTCACTTATTACCTGTCCAACACACTTGATAATTTTATTTTGGCTAGTTTTTGAGATATAAGTTTTATTTTTACCACAGTTCTTCAAATGATCCTCTAAAACTCTGTCCCCTGCACGAACTCTAAAATTAAGAGACTCAATAAAATTACCAACTCTCTCTGTAGAGTAACTGCCAACGTCAGGATGGTATTTAGAGTCATCACGGTGACCACGTAATGGTAAACCAAGGCGGCCACAAAAAATTACTGAATCCACAATTGGGGCAAGTTTCTTTCTGTTATCCTCAATCTCTTTCTTGAGGTTGGTATCTAAAATGAGCTCAATAGGCTGCGCCTTCCCTGACATCTGGGAAAGTAAAGATGTTAGTATGGGAAATGTACATGCATGCAGGCCCATTTCTCCTCCTGTACCATGTCCAGCATGATTTTTCAGAGTGTATGATGTACCACTCCAACGACGAAGAGGCTCAGAAAATAAATTTTTAATTTTTAAAGCTTTACCAGGAAAACGATCCCCAAACAGAACACATGACAAGCAGAATGCACCATCCTTCAAAGGGGAATAACAAAGCCAGGGATATAAGTCTAGCCATTCATACCTGAAGCTTCTGCCATTGGTCTTTGGAAAGGAATACTTCTTATCAGGTTTAAAGACATTTCTGATGAGATTGCAGATTTCAGATGAGTTCATACCTCCCACCATGTCCCGGTACATTGCAACATCAAAATTGGTACCATGTGATTCAACCTTTGGTGCATTAGGTGTTATATCAGCTTTTGAGATATTTGGTTTTGTGTTGGTTGAAGTGCTGGGTTTATTGTTATTTAATTGCTCTTTTGGTTTTGAAGCAGATTTCTCTGTCACCTTAAAAAACTTAGAAATGTTAGATGGGGGATTAGAGACCTTTTTCTGAAAAATAAGAGTCGGTCTAGGTTTCTTGGCAGTGACTTGTGGACAAGCAGCTGTCGACTTTCTTTTCAACTGCTGTTGATGAAAGATAAGAGGAACAAAATGATTTGGCTGGATGGTTTTTCCAGCAGTTACAGTACCTTCATAACAAAACAAAATATGAAGATCATCCAAACCTTTCTTTGGAGTTAAGCGTGGTTGAATCATGCGATTAAATAGCAATTTACTTCTTTGTTGCCCACAATCAGGATAATAGGTGAAAGTATTCCTATTCAAAACTGAAGCAAGACCCATTATACAGAGAAAGGATGACCATTTCTTCTCACTGCAATTAAGTATAGCTTCCTGTCTAACCAAGTCATCTTTCATACAACCAGTATCTAAACATTCCTTAGAAACAGACAATGGTAAAAGGTTATTGATACTTTGGCTGAAGTATTGAGCATGTTCTTCCACAGCAGAAGAAAAACAAGGGTGCTGAGAATAAAAATCAGCATTAAGGTAGAGCTCTATGGAGGTCAAAATTCTCAATAGCTCCATTAGGCTATTGTTACCCACTTCTACCAAGGACACAGAGCTATACAAGCAGTTCCCAGTAGTGTCAGATCTAAAACATGAATGAAACTTGGTTTTATTACACCTACCTACTAATATACACTTACTCAGTCACTTAGGCAAAGATGAATAAATATTAACCTAGTAATTGATAAACTTGATAGCAAAAACATCATATTCCACTTTCATGAACCATTAAGTGTAAATAATTGGCAATATAATAATAGACTGAATTATTATATAATAAACTAGTGTTCATCTTTTAAAATGTAATCAGGAAATATGGCTACTTGTATGCTTTACTGCTATATGTTTTGAATAATTATTTTTGAATTTTAAACAAAGTTCAGTGCTCAAAGCTTTGCCTTAATACATCGGGTTGTACATTTCAAAGAAGGTATTGTATTATATACACGAAGTTCACATAAGACATTATTACACTCCTCGATTCCTCTTGATTCGTATGCATAGACCGCAGTTATATGCAAATTTATTAAGCGAAATCCTATGTAAATTTCAACGTGCAACGTGTAAATTTCAACTTTATAGCTTGTGCAGCTTAACAGTTCTAACACAAATTACACAATCACCAATGAACAAATACACAAAATCTTTGTAAAATATTGTTATGTTTACCTTAAGGCCGTACAAAATTTCTTTGTTGCCTTCCGAACAGACGTCGGGATGTACGATTCCGCAGCAAAATTTCTCGTGAGGCAAAAGCTGGTGTTGTTCAGTTCGTTTAGTAGTTGCTCAGTTGAACGCTTTGCTGCGGCGTCTATTCGCTTCTTCAGATCGGCCTCGATAGTTTTAAGATATTGCCGATCGTCTTTCTCCAAAGCACATCTCACGGCGTTGTAAAGATCTGACATGATTAATAAATAGTTTTGATAATAATTTTTTTCTTTCGAGTTAAAGAATCTTTCGAGTTTTCGTTGCTGTCAAAGCTACGATGACGTCGATCAGAAAGATCAATTGCAAGGAACCTTGCTGTGCACGCTCTCAGGTCAAGGTCAGATCACACTGATCGATCAGAAAAATACAACCAATGAGAATTCAGATAGATTTTGAATTAGCCAATTGAGTAGCCCGATTCGAGCCCCTGATCGCTTCACCGATCAGAACTCCCCACAGATCGCGCAAAAAGAGAGACAGCCAATCAGATGACTGGGATTTGATGACGAAGCGAGCAAAATTCATGCATAAGACCGCTTTTCTGCGCGCTCGTGCTCGAAGGCCTGGTCGCTGAACTCTTTTAACAACTGGATTGCCAAACATCACCTGGTGACATCACCCCAATACACTGCACGTGTTTTGCAACTGGACTGCTATTTCATTCAAGCACTTTTCTTGGCATTTTTACCTTAGTCGCGTGATCGCTCTGATCACCCCTAGATCCGCCCCTGCTCAGGTAGTATAAGGAAGCTTTTATATTACTGCTATTTCAATGCTAAAAGCTTAAATAATGTTAACATTTAGCTTTCACATCGTCTTATATACAAGGTGATTTTACTCTTTCTGACAGAGGCTTCCTTTTGACCTGTAACTATACAAACCTTCCTGTATCTTTCCTTTATCATGTTAGCCAGATTGGTTGATCGCTTTGATTGCTCAGCATTTTTAGATGCTGCTTTCTGCCTCTTCGTTGCAGCTGGTTCTTGCTGAAGAAAAACAGGATCAGAAATAAATGTGGGGAATATAAACTATGCACATAACTTGCTCATTACTATTATTTTTGTATATGTGCTCAAAAAACACCTTGTTAGAGAAAATTTGGAATGGAAAAATTATCTCTGTAACTTTAAGACTTTTACCTGTCTTTCTGTGTCACTGTCGCTATCATTTATAACACGGAAACCTTTGCCTGTTTTAACCGGAGAATCATCTTCTCTCATGTATTTGAGTAACCAGTCTTTGTCATCTATTGTTTATTTAAAATATAACAAATATGAACAAAGATTATGGCAGGGATGGACTTGGTGCTGATTTCTGAATATGTCGTATCTAAAAGTGGGAAGTAATATATGCTGTTATATAGACAAATATTAAATTACTTGAGACTTCACACACTCTGCTCTGAATTATTTGGGATCATTTAGATGATTAGGACTTCAATCACCATGATATGAATTATACTTCAAACATGATTATATTTCAAAACAGCCTGATCTGAATCATTTGGGATCATTTATATGATTAGGACTTGAATATATTAACTATAAAACCCATCTTACCCTAAATAAATTATATTTATTTCAAGACATAAAACGCCAAAGGCGAACAATAATGACTCAAGGAATATATAAACTTAATTTCAAACCTGATATCTTTACAATCTCGGCAGGGAATTTTCTTTTGGTTGCTTTCTTGGATTTTGTATCTTTCCAAAGAACCAACATTTTTGTCCCGTTCTCGATTTCATTTTGTTTATGTTCCTGAGTAAAAACAATATCGGAATATGGAATGACATCCCAAGCATTCTCTTCGAAGAAATTAACCAAAGCGTAAGCCATTAAGTCGTTTAATTGCCGAGGTCTTTAAAACACTGTTGTCGGTAAATTCGAAATGGCCGCCAAGAGAGTTGGCATGTCATACTCAGGTCACATGTGGGCAAATTAAAATGCGAGCATGCCCATATTAGGGAATAATCGGATATTCACGTCTCGTCTCGACGCAATAGTTTCCCAAAATATCCCAAAATATCCCAACTAATCCCAACATATTTCTTTTGTGATTTTCCTCCGATCTGCCGTTTTCCTTGAACTAATTACTGAAACTGTTAAAAGATAAAAGATTCTGAGAGTCTTGAAGATGGTCAAAGGTTAAACACGCTTATGTGTTGAGTACAAAGGTATGTAAATGTTAATGTATGCTAAATATTGGTAATCGAAATCTATATATATATATATATATATATATATATATATATATATATATATATATTATATATATATATATATATATATATATATATGTATCGCAAATCACTTTTTCTTGACTACAGATTATGCAAATAAAAAAGTGCAGCTATAGTTTCTCTAGAATAACTATAGTTTTATTAGTAACCATTTGTTGTAAACTATAGGTCTTTAAAAAAACTATAGTTCAAATTTAGTTTCAATTATAACTATAGTTTCCAGCGGCTACTATTTGTTGAAAACTATAGTTTTTAAAACAACTATAGTTAAAGTATAGTTTGGAACAAAACTATAGTTTCGAAAAACTGTAGTTTCTGTATTTGGAAACTATAGTGTCACGAATAACTATGTTTTTGTCTGAAACTATAGTTGTTCAGAAGAACTAAAGTTTTAAGGCAAAAAACTATAGTTATTTTGTCGAAACTATAGTTAGTTTTTGTAAGGGGATCAAGATCATTAGATCTGGTCGCACAAGAAAGACAGTATAGAATTAGTGCTTTAGATTTTAACATATATTTCGAACAGTTGCGTTAAAATTAGAATTCAATCAAGTTAACATTTATTGGGACGGTGAACACTGAACGAGGCACAACTTTTATATTCTAATACTTTTTATATTATAATAGGGGGGGGGGTGTTGGATTTTATGCGGAAATAGAATGATTATTATAATGCATGCAAACGTCATGGGTATAAATTATACTGCATGGGGATCAATAGTAAGTAAGAAAATTGGATAATTAAGGACAGATTGGAAGTGAGGGTTAAACACACAAATTCCCAACACAGCCTCCTACTGCCATGAATGACCGGTCTTGTTAAAAACAAATATTATAGGTAAATAAAAATATCTACAATCCCTCGCGAACATCTTCGTCTTATATATTATAATTTCTTATCTTCGCTTTTACCTGGGAGAGTGTCCATTTCCCAGCTGCCTTGACAGACAGCGCAGCCTTGGAACACTCTGGCTTGAGATGCACGTGACTAGGCTGACCTTTGACCGTGAAACTGTCCGTAGTTGAGAAACTTTCCCGAAGCTGAGACTTGCTGACTTCGTCCCCGCGATGGGTTAATCCAGAACTGTCCTCGTCTAGTAGTTTCCAGACATCTTGTAACGACGCGCGGTCGTCTGATGAGAACGAAGGTTGCCATCGCGAGACGATTTCGTCACGAACAGTAGACGATTCCGGTAGGCCTGCTTTTTCTGCGAGTTCCGTGTTTGAAGAGTGTTTTTGAAGTTTTGGGCCGACGCGGAATTTTTTTTGCGAGGAGATAGCGAATGCTGATCATTATTCCTCGCTAGTGTTCTCTGTGCATACTGCATGCAGTTCTTTGCTTGTTAGTTCATATTGCAACTGTTCCAAACCCCGTAGTTGGGATCGGGATGTTTGCGCCACATTCTGCGGATCTTTGGACGATTGACGTGCCTCAATTGAAGGCGATTTTTTCCCTCCTAATATATAACGATAGAATAACATTCTAAAATCAAAACGGTGGCAGCGGTACACTAATCGATTTTACCACGAGATTACTTATTTCAGCATCTCTCATTATACCAAAGCCGCCACGCTGCGGAGAAACAAGAAATTTTCGTGTTCTCAATAATTGTAGTTTTTCTCAACTTCTATTATATAGGTTTAAACTTTTGTTCTTAACAATTTATCAAAAATGGTTTAAAGACGCTCTGCAAAACAATTTTATTTCATATTTCAATCAAAGGACGCATTAAACGAATGTTTAGTCCACCCGTTTTCGGTACATTTTCAAGTACAAGTTTAACTTATATCTTATCAATTAACTTGCATGTTTTCTTTCAACAGTTCCAATTGAAGTTTTTCGCCATATGCTTATAACCGACCGGCGTTTGCCCAGACTTATTCCGCGGTGTTCTGGAGCCCGGTCACGTGTCACTACCCTACATGCGGTAGTGACGTAATCATCGCGGGATCTCTTTGCACATGCAGTTAGTCTTTTGCGAACAACAGAAGCTACGCATCATGATTATAGGAAAAATGTATTCAATTCATTCTTACAGTAATTTATTTCGACTAACGTATATATATTAATGCCATCTTAATAGATATTCCAAAATATCCCTTCAAATACCTTTATATTTCAACAATTCAGCTCTCAGCTTATTTCCCATTTTAATCAACTGTTTGCGTTCTTTTGTTACTCCATTTTTCCGTTGAGCAGCTTGACGTAGTTTGGTGTGTAATCCTTTAGATGACGATACTACTCCCTTCATACCAGGGACTTCTGAAAAAAAAGGAAAACGTTTAAAATTTAAATCCTGACAAAATCATTCAGAATTTTATGAAGTGAATTTAGGGTTTGTTATGTGTTGATGAGAAATGTTGATGAAAGGTTTTCCAGCCGCAATCAATTTACTGTTTTGGAAAAGGTCGTAACTTACAAATTGTGAACGGGTTTGAATGAAATATAACTCCATAGACAGGCGTCATAGTTATATCACGCTATTTTAGGTGGATCAGAACAGCAAGAGATATGCATTCTATATATGGTTAACAACTGACAGTGGTTGGGTTACATCACAATCTATACGTTTCAATTAATTCAGTAGATTTAGAATGTTCTACGGCAGTCGTGATTGTTAAGATTCTAAACACAAATAAAGATAGTATTTCAAAAGCGTCAGACAGTACACTCACCTTTCTCTCGAAGGTCTTGTATAAACTGACTTTCTGGATTGTACGTATTCACACTCTAAAAAAAGGTGTGTTCAAATAACACACCTTTTTTGTCCAGAATATAACACAGGTTAAGGTGTGTTTTCTTACACACGCAGGTGTGTCCCAAAACACACCTTAAGGTGTGTTTCTTGCTTGTCCAGAATTTGACACACTATAAGGTGTGTTTTGCAAAAGGTGTGCTTTAGTACACACTAAGGTGTGTTTTGAAACACACTGTTGTGTGTTTTCCTACACAACTTTGGTGTGTTTTCCTACACAACTTTGGTGTGTTCCAAGACACATACTGCTAGGTGGTGCAAGGTGTGTTTTGGAACACACTAAGGTGTGCTACCCAACACACAAGATCAAATTGCCTAGGGCAATTATCTAAATAGAATGAATAGTCAGAACAGTTTGTCCATAAACAGTGAAATATGTATTAAAAATAGAAAACATTATCATACAAGAAAACACTTACATATATTCACAACAAATATTTAAAAGTCATATGGAAAATTTGCCTTAATAATAATTTGCCTTAAATATATGGCATGCATATAATATAAGCATGAATGTCCAGGCATGTATAAATTGTTCTAATCAGAATTGTCCTTAATTCCTTGGTGCACCTTTGCCATAAATGAGGAAAATTTTGTTCCTCTGTAGTTGCCATCATTTGTTGGCAAAAGAATGTCTTGTAGGAAAAGCAAGCATCCTTCCATACTTTCAGGGTAGGAGACGTGATATGCATAGTAACAACAAAGCAGGTCGATCAAACCTTGGAGTATACCTTCACTCTCAATAAATGACTGGTCTTCACCTGCCACAAAAACTTGGTTGACCTCCTCAGGAGACCCAATCACAACCAAGCGAAACTCGACATTCTTGTCTTTGAACAAGGTTTCTGGTCTCATGGTGGATGCAGGCTGTAAAACAAAATTAAAACAGTTAATTACAATTCCAGCATTGAGGTAAACCTAAAGATTAAGATCATTGATTTGCCACTCAGCTATCTACTAGAGTGTGCAAGGTGCAATTGACAAATACATACATCTTTTTTAGAACACTTGTTGTTGTTCCTTTGTTCCTTTTTGTCTTTCTCTCAATTTGCTCCACAGCCTCCACAACCTGTTCACTTCTCATTTCACATTCCTTATCCTTAATTTGTATGACAGCTTTCAATGCAGTCTCCAACTTCTTTTCAGCCTCTTTTTCCCAATTTTTCTGCCCAATGATTCTGCTAACTTCTTTTCTTACCTAATTAAGATAATCAAAGACATTTTGCAGGTGTTTGAAACAAGTTGCCATTGCTTCAATAGGGTTACCCATTGTTTTAATATTATACCCTAAAAACTACATGTGTATATATGACTGCACAAGACATCATGTGAAGATACTTACAACATTTGGATGACCAAGATATGGACATTCCTCCAAGACCTCTGTAGAAGATGTAGCTTGATTTTCGATAAGTTTCCTCCGCTCATTAAATGTGTCGACAAAGAGTTTTGCAAATGTTTAGGAGCCATTGCACCAGGTTTTGCTTTTTTCAAAAGCTCCATATTTCTTTTTTGAGCTTGCTCATCATCCTCTGCAGTCAGTTTTATTTTCTTTGAGGCACTTTCATTTGCATAACCATGGGGTTGTCCATGCATCGCTTTGTTAACTGTCCGCCGCCGAAGGTTTCTGAAGAATTGCGACAATTGTTTCTGGATTGATACCTATATATGTAGACAAAATATGATATTTGGGATTAGGATCATTGCCATGACAAGTATATTTTAAGTACATATACAGAATATTCCCTCTTGTGACACTTACCCAATAGCTTGCTTGATTGGAATCTCTCAACTCAGGGAATTTCTCGCACACTAAAATGGCAATCCTCTTGTAGTCACCTTGCTTTGGGTGGCTGGACAAACCATAATAAAAGGTCCCTACATCTGCAATCAGCTGTGTTCGCTCAGGGGCAACAGAGCCATTTTTTATTGCCATCTGCACTCGCACAGAGAAACTCTCAGGAAATGGGAGAGTGTTTGGTAGGGCTGTGGCATCTGAACTATTAGTAATAGGTTTGGGACTCTTGAGTGGTTTCTTCATTTGAACACCTGCTTTCACACTTTCAACACTGCTTTCACATGCCATGGTTGGCAAAGGTGGTTTCACTGGCAAAGGTGGTTCCACTGGCAAAGGTGGTTCAGTTGGCATTGGTGGTTCTAGCTCTGATGTGTGTGGTTCATCATCATGTGGCATCACAATTTGCTGAGGCATTTTTTCCTATTATTGACAAATAGTAAATACTTTCATGTAAAATATTGAGAAGTAGTCATTATTAGTGATGGGAATACAATTGATTATTTCAATTGCCCAATGTGACAGTGCCTTCTCTCGGCTTATAATTTTCAATTAGTACTGTTATATAAAAGCCTGTTAGGCAAACTAAAGGAATTAACGACAAATTAATATTCTTGTTAAATCAAAGTTTATATTTATATCCTGTTTAAACAAAGTAAACTTACGTTTTCTGTTGTCGCAGATAAAGTAAAGGCCAATTTTTGTTTTAGTTGAATTCGATGGCCAGATTTAGGTAAGACCGCTTTGAATTCGTCGATGTCTTGCATCAAAAAGTTCAATGTACCCCCATCAATAGCATTTTCTGAAACATTATAATCATAAACTGTTAGTAGATCGTATTCATTAAACTGTATAATAAAAAAGAAAGCTTAACGCACACATAAAAACTTAAACGCTTTAGCATTTTGGCAATGGTTCAACCACATGAGGCATACCTTTCAGTTGATCGCAAATTTCTCTTGAGATGCCTTTTGATAACAAGTGAGCAATAAGGTCTTCAGTGAACATTGCTACTAAACACACAGCCATACTTGTGATGAAATTATATTTAAAAAACAGAGTAAATGTTGTGAGTAATCTTCTTGGAACGTCGAACGGGCAAGATATCAGTCAAATTTTTACAAGCAGGTCTAAATTTCCCGCATCACACCATAGGGAATTCCTATTGGCAGACTTACGGTCACGTGTTACTTTAAATACATATATGGTATTCCCAGTGGTGACATTACCGTGAGAGAATAGAATGGCTCCCAGGCCTTTTGCAAATGCTCCAATTTTTCGGCTAATATCGATTGAAAACATACTGGGAAATAAACTAAGTATTAAAAGTCAGTAAGGCACAAGGCGAAATAATGTGTTTTTAGTATATACAAATGGCCGATCAACTGAATTTCGCTGCGATTACTGTAATTTTGTATGTTGCAGCGGACAAAGTAAGCTTTTTTTTATCACTTGGTTAAATACACTCAAACGAGCCGAATTTCAAGATATTTTGTAACAGCTGTCCACGGTCGTTTACAAAGATAAACAGTCTCCAAAAACATTATTACAGACAGCATAAGGCTTTAACAGTGGAAGAAGACTTAAATGATGGGGAAAATGAGAACCATTTTCAGGAGATGTTTGACGAGGGAGAAGCACGAAGTCTAATGCAACGCCATGCTGCCAAATTCCTTTTATGTTCCAAAACAAGAGGTATGCTCACCCAGAGTGCCGTGGACTTGGTCAAAGATTCAGCGAAAAATCTACTAACTGAGTATTTGGACATAGTCAAAAAATCGCTTGTCGAAAAGATAAACAGTAATCCTGGTCAAGAATTGCAATTTGACCAAGATGTGGAAAAGTTATTTTCAGCAGAGAGTGTCTTCGACGGAGTTGATTCAGAATACCAACAAAGATCATATTTTAAGCGTCATTTCAATTTGGTGGTAATTACCAACCTACCAAACCTGAACCAGCTGCCAGCTTTGTCAGCTTGCTTTATATTTTTTTAACTGATTTGCAGGAACCAATAGAAGTTGAGATGGGAAAACAGTGGAGAAGTGATTTTCGACAAGGGAGAAAAATACTTAAACGTGTCACAGTTTTTGGTTATCAAGTTCCATTATTAAAGACTTTGGAGGTAAATATATTTTATATGAAAGACTAGCAAATAATTGATGTCACTATTCTGGTGCTAAATGCCATTACTTTGGCTTTTCAAGATTCAAATCACTGGATGCATCCATTTGTTGCAAATATTTTTTTCAAACATTTTTTTGATCATATATTTTAGGCACTTCTTCAAAACCCAGATGTTTTAAAGGAAGTTGAAAATCCACATTTTTCATGTGATGGTGTTCTTCGAGATGTAATGGATGGGGATTTTTTCAAGAGTCATCCAGTATTCTCCCTCCACAGTGATGCCCTGCAGCTGTTGGGCTATTATGATGATCTAGAAATAGCCAATCCTTTAGGTTCAAAAGCAAAGATTCATAAAATTGGTGTGTGTCTTTATATTATGTCTATGAATCTATGAACAGCTTATTTCATAAGCATGTTAGCTGCCCAATCACATATAAAATTTGTTTTTAGGTGTCTTTTACTTTGTGCTGGGCAATATAAGGCCAATGTTTAGATCAAGCATCCGCAGTATACAACTTATAGCTATTGCTAAAACAAAAGACATCAAGTCATTTGGGATCGATAATCTTTTGATGCCATTCATTGAGGATGTCAATTGTTTGGCGAAGGTATTTTTACTTTATGCATTACAGTATTGTATGTATATAAGAAAAAAAAAAGACAAAATTCCTCTAGTATGCAAATTTGTCCAACATTATAGCTTCCTATATTTTAGGCTAATGGTCACTGTTTTACCATAAATGGTGTTGCCCGTGTGTGTTTCGAGGTGATCTGTTATTGTGGACTGGAGATACACTTGGTAGCAACTATGTCAGTGGTTTCAAGGAAGGTGTTGGAGGAGCATTGCGAATTTGTAGGCATTGTATGGGAACAAGACTGGAGACCAACAATAAGGTAAATATGCTATAATTTGAAGAAATAGCTTTTTTCCCTACTGTAATTTGGGAGATATTTTGCTGAGCAATAAGGGCATTTTTACAATTTACACAATGTGCATTTGGATTACCTTTCTGTTTTAGTTTTTATCTGAAGACTTTTCAGAAAGAGATTTGGATAATCACAGACAAATATGTGCATGTATTGAAGATGAAGATAATGCATTAAACATCCGTGAACAACTTTCCACAACCTATGGGGTAAACAGATTAAGTGTGTTGGATAAGGTGCAACATTTTGATGTTTGCATTTGCATTCCTGAAGATATAATGCATATATTTTGGATGGCTTGGTACCCTATGAAACAAAGTTGATGCTGAAGTATCTGATTGATGAAAGCAGATGTATCACACTCAAAGAGTTAAATCGGAGGATGAAAACTTTGATTATGGATACATGAACAAAAAGAATAAGCCAACTGCAACTACAGGGAAACAATCAATGGTGTCACTGAAGCTAAGCTTAAACAATCAGGTACATATACTTTTAAAACCCTTTCTTTCACTGCAGTCATTGGGAAAGTATTAACTAATTTATATGTCTTGCTTTATGCAGCCTAATTGTCTTGAACTACCAAATGTAGACTATGTAATGCTATTTTAACCTGAGTCTTTTTGTTGCAGCATCTCAAATGTGGTGTTTATTCAGGTTCTTGCCAATCATGATTGGTGATAAAGTGGATGAGCAACTGGAAAACTGGCATTGTTTGCTGAAACTTTGGAATATTGTTCAAATTTGTACTTCTCCAGGAATAACAAAGGCTGATGCTGCCTATTTGAAAGTTATGATTAATGATCATCACAAAATGTTCAAAAATCTCTACCCTAATGCATCCATAATTCCAAAAATGCATTATCTTATACATATACCTGATGAAATTGTTAGGTAAAAAATTATTGATGTAAAAGTTACTTCCAAATTATTTTTGAGTTAGAGAACATCATCCTATTAAATTATTGATGATTATAATTAAATGTTTGCGTTGTAGGTTTGGGCCACCTAGAAATATCTGGACCATGAGATTTGAGGCTAAACACAGTTTCCTGAAAAGTTCAATTACCAAGAACTTTAAAAATGTCCCCAAATCACTTGCATTTTCCCATCAAAGGTATATATTTTTTAAAATCATTGTGCACAATTAGATTGACTTGTATTCCACCCCTCTAAAGTAGCTGTGTTTTATCACTCTAGGCTTAATTTTGAATAAATGTGTAGATTTGTGTATTTCAATTATACATTTTTTACAGAATTGTGTATTTATCATACTAATCATGGTGTAATTGTTTTTTATTTAGGAACATGTGCTGGAACCTTCTGAGTTCTCCCAAGCAGCCCTTGACTAATTACCTGTATAGTGGTGATGTTGTTGGATTAGGTAAATAATGCATATATAGTTATAAAAATTTGTAATTTTACATATGTATAAATATGCATATACAGCTATTATTCCAATTTAAATCTATTTTTTCATGTGTTTCCTAATGTCTGTTTAAGGCGATCACAATGTTGATTTGCACAGCCATCCATATTTTGGCATGATAGCTCAAGCTGCTAGTGTTGATCAACTGGCACAGCCATGTAAAGGAAGCAGGTAATATTTATCAGTTTAATATTGCCAAGTTGTTTTTTAATGTAATTATGAATAAAAAATTATATCATTTATATGACATAATAAAGGACTAACTACTACAATATTCAATCTAGCTACTATTTATCAACTGAACTATCTCTTAATATCACTGTGATTTATCAGGCAAAAACTGAATTTGGGATGAGATGAATCATACTATCTTATGTTTATCAAATGAACTATTGCATTGTAATCTAATTTTTTAGCATGTTAGGCATGTGGAGATTCATGGCATAATTTACAAGCCAGGATGTGCTCTGCGACTGCAGGAAATGGATGAGATTGGTGAGAGAGATTATCCGGTTTATGGTGAGTGGAAGAAATCGTTGTTTGGGAAGATAGAAAATTTTTTGTTGTTCGAGTTTTGGAGACATCTGCTTTCCACAGACATTTTATGTACTACCAAGTTCATAAAACTAATGAAAGGCTTGTTGTACGTAGTAATTCAAAACTTACCCTGGCATGGGGTTTTGCATATTATTAAATCTAATGGAAAATTTTATATAGTTGAAAAAGATAGTTCAAATGTAGAAGACTTTGTGATTAATTGTGAATAAATATTGCCACTGTATGGTAACCAAAAAGGTAAAGCTGTTTCACTCAAGAAGGTGTGTTTCCTAATGGTGGTGCTATAGATAGCCAGATAGGTATGTCTTTGTCAAGGTGTGACATGAAAGTGAGCATTCTACATAATGTGTTCTGGAAAAAGTTGTGTTTTTCACGAACGTTTGTTGAACACACTTTTTCTCCAGAAAATGGTGTGTTAACTTGTATGGTGTGTCATTGTCAAGTTGTGTCAATGCAAGGTGTGCTCTCTGCATGGTGTGTTCTGAAAAAGGTGTGTTTGTTGAACACACCTTTTTCTCTAGAAAATGGTGTGCTCACTTCTATGGTGTGTCTCTGTCAAGGTGTGTCAAAGCAAGGTGTGCTCTCTGCATGGTGTGTTCTAAAGGTGTGTTTGCTGAACACACCTTTTCTTCCAGAAAAAGGTGTGTTAACATAAGGTGTGTCAGTTGACACGGGCGGGTGTGTTTCTGTACACACCAAGATGTGTTCTGTGACCCAGTAAGGTGTGTTTATCAACCCACCTATGACTCTTTTTTCAAAAAAGTGTGTTTCACAACACACCTTTATGTGTTTGAAAACACACCTTGGTGTGTTTGAAAACACATCTTTTTTTAGAGTGCAAAGGTTTTCCGTGACTGGCAAGATCCAATTTTAATGCTGACAACTGCAGAAAATCATCTCCTGCCTGTCACACAATTCTTGACTAGATGTTGCTAATATTTCTACCTCGGGTAGTTTATCTGCGACAAACATTAACCCATACTTTCATAAACGATCTCTGCAGAAACTCAAATTTCTGTCTATAAACACCGAATACAAAAATTTCGGACATTACGCTCTCAAAACAGATAAATATCAAACGATTATCAGTAATTCTTCCGTATCCACACTCTCGCCTGTAGGCTGTGTTACACTCACACTCATTGAGTGTGACATACAAATTTTGTCATCACCGATAAAGAGAAAGTTATTTCTTAATCGATACAAAGATTTAACGAAAAACACTGAAAATTAAGCTCTTATTCGAGTGGAAATACCGCCATGAAATGTTATGACTCCCACTCAACAAGTTCGAGTGCGCTTTTAAAATACAATAGTTCCTCGCTAACTCGAACTCCCTAAGGGAAAGGAAAATTGTTCGAGTTACCGGGGGTTCGAGTTTACCGGAGTTAGTGTAATATTACATTTATTATATATAATTAATACAATAAGTTATAAAATCCAATCGAATCATTCTTCAAGAGATATCATGCCTACCAATATGAATGGTGACCGAAACTGGACGAAATTTTAAAATAAAAAAGATCGAGTGTGTGTTAATAAAACTCAATGTGTTAACATATTCAATTTACGCTTTGGCTTTGGTTAGTATATTCAATTTACGCTTGCATTTAAAAACAATTTATATTCACAGAACGCCGAAAAAAGGAGAGTTAATAAGATCATAATTATTTGTCCGGGCTAGCATGCAAATTAGCAAACATATTTTAATGCAAGCGGATATTAGAAGCCAATTTGACAAAAATACTAGCTAATCACAATTTTTTCCATTTATGAATGCGTGATGGTAATCCAGATTTCAATTTTTTAAACGGTGTTTAAGAAAACCGGAGATTATTTTAATGTCTGTAATGTTTAACACAAGTGAAAACCCGTTGTTCGAGACTGAATGAAATTTACCTTGTGCGATAGTTTTTATACATGGGTGCCGTAAAAATGTGTCTCGTTCTTTTGTTGCTAAACAAAGTGGCTCAGATGGCAGATCATTAGATTAAGTTAAAGTGAGCAAATTATCAGTACAATTTATCTACGATGATATTTGCATACATTCAACAACCAAAACATCTAAAGTAGCAAGAAGCTCTTTATAGAATGATGTAGTCAATTTATTAGCACGGGACAGCTAAAATTGGTGCCTGCGTCCAATTTGATGCACAGCAATTTAAAGCACAGCGCATCCATTTTGACCGTGCCAATAGTTTGCAGCTAAAATTTACTGGTTCACTTACTGATCAAAACCAATCTCGTGATATATTCTTTCGGCATTGCGTTAGTTGATATGAAAATACTTTTTGTAAGCCAATCAACCACATAATATTCTTTTGAGAGAGCTGTCCTCGCAGCCAGTTCCCAACGACGTGAAATTCTATGACGCCACGCTTCTCTTCACGACGAGCTGCCTCGTCTCGTCCAATGTGTCACCCAGGGTAAAAACCGTGCTGTAAGTACATAGTTTAAACGAAATTGACTTTTTGTTTTGAAATTGACATCTCCGAGACCTTTGTGTAGACCGTAAATATACAGTTGGTATTCAGCCAATAATGAAAACTGCTTAAAGTTTGTCAAATATTTTCACTAAATTCTTGGCAAGCTTCCTTCAGTAAATTAACCTGCACACGCTGGTTTTACTTCTATTTTCAATTTACAACAATTTCATGAAACAACTCTCGTACAACAATCTAAACGATCTCAAAACGCTCTAAGACAGTCTGGATTTATATAATAATACAGCTCCACACATTTACTTATAGTCCCGGCCCGGTTGTATCAAGGCCATTTATAGCTTAAACGGCGGATAAGTCAAAATTAAATAATACTCTTACATCTCTCTTGAATGGGTCAACTATCCCGTCCAAAAGGAAAATCGGAATTGAAAAGGCAAGTAAATCTTTGGAACTGTTGTAGAATATGATAAACTGACAAATTTGCAAATATAGTAAATTTAAATCCAGTGGCAATATGGCGTTTACGGCCATGATATCCTAGTTCCATAAATCTTATTAAAATGGAGCTTTCTTTCAACGTAGATGTAAAGGGGATTGAAGATTTATAAATGGCTATTCACAGCCAAACTTCGTTCTACATAAAACACGTGATGTTCAGCTGTTGTTTGCTTATACACTTGATCGTATTTCTTCGCTTCACTATCCCGTCCAACAGGAAAATCAGAATTTAAAAGGCAAGTAAATCTTTGAAATTGTTGTAGAATAATATAAACTGACAAATTCGCAAATATAGTAAATCTAAATCCAGTGGCAATATGGCGTTTTACTGCCATGATATCCTAGTTCGATAAATCTATTAAAATGGAGCTTTCTTTCAACCTAGGTGTAAACGGGATTGAAGATTTATAAATGGCTATTCAAGCCAAACTTCGTTCTACATAAAACACATGATTTCAGCTGTTGTTTGCTCTATACACTTCGAATATTCTCATAAATGTATGACAGTATGATCGTATTTCTTCGCTTTACTATCGCGTCGAAAAAGGAAAATGGGAATTTAAAAGCAAGTAAATCTTTGGAACTGTTGTAGAATATGATAAACTGACAAATTCGCAAATATAGTAAATTTAAACCCAGTGGCAATATGGCGTTTTACGGCCATGATATCCTAATCCGATAAATCATATTAAAATGGAGCTTTCTTTCAACCTAGGTGTAAAGAGATTGAAGATTTATAACTGGCTATTCACAGCCAAACTTCGTTCTACATAAAACACGTGATGTTCAGCTGTTGTTTGCTGTATACACTTCGAATATTCTCATCAAATGTTCTTCGCTTCACTATCCCGTCCAACAGGAAAATCAGAATTTAAAAGGCAAGTAAATCTTTGAAATTGTTGTTGAATATTATAAACAAATGACAAATTCGCACATATCCTAGTTCGATAAATCTCATTAAAATGGAGCTTTCTTACCAGGTATTATGTGTATATGAAAGAAACAACCTGTATTTTTTTCTGTATATTTTTGTGTTATAGATATCACAAAATACATACTGTACTATACAGTATAGACCCTCTGTGATTTATATACAATCATATTTTCAATTGTGTGAAAATGATGTTCTTGTAATCTCCATGTAGAGCAAAAGCCGCGCGAATCATTTGTTTTATGTTTATCAACTCGAACTGGAATACGCGACTGGAACAAGATGGCTTCCAGCAATGGGAAATAATTTATGTTAAAAATGTAGTGTAAATGTATTTGTGTTCGCTTAATATCATGAAAGGGTAAGTAATTTTTTAAATTGTATGCATAAATTTTTGTCTTAAGCCTTAATTCCACGGGCTAAATTTTCAAGCAAAATGCGAAATATTTCTCCTGCTTCTTTTGAATTGTGAGCAATGATGCATAATTAATTGATTCAAGCGGTCGAAATTCAAAAGAAACAGGCAAAATATTTCGCATTTCGCCGAGAACAGGCGCCCGTGAAGTTAGGCCCTTAGAGTTAGGCCCTTAGAGTTAATATGTGGTTATCAACATGTTTCATTGTGAATTTTAAAATTTAGAGAATGGCATCGACGATATGCTATAGAAATGTCCATTGCAATAATCTGTTTAGTAAAACTCTTGAAGGCTGCTGAACGGCGTTTGCATCAGCGCAAATAAAAAAATAAAACAATGCTGGCAGCAGATCATGACGTTTGTTTGCCCCAGCAACCCTTTTGGACTATAATATGGTTGACATCTAATATAGGATTTCTTCATTTGTCACCTACATTCATTGAAATCTACAAAAGCTTTATAAAAACTAATAGCACTATTATAGAGCACCTGTATTATATATATTGTTGGAAGAAACCATGTAATTTTGCACTATATCAGTGATGACATAAGCCTTATATGG